ACCGGGAAAGCACCAGGCCCCTTGGCAGCCCAAGGCGCATGCGAGAGTTTACTTGTGGACATGCACATGACCACAATTAGCTCTAAGGCACATTCAAATTAAATGGTGAAAGCTCCAGCTACCAGCCTGTCTCCTCAGGGGACACCCCTGTCACCAGAGGTAAGAGCTCTGATCCTGATGAAAGTCAGCTCCCGAATACCCACAGGTTTCAGCTGGGCATTCCCAACTCCAGCTGTGTCTGTCACCTTCAAACCTCAGGCAGCCTGTGACAGACACCCACACCTGTAGGTGCAACATGTCCTGAATATCCCTGGTGCCATTTGCTCCAAAACCTGACAGTCCTATCTTAGGTATGGAGAATATGCATTTCCCTCCAAGCAGCTGCTTATCTTTAAAGGTTTATGTCCATCCTCATTCATTTCTACTTCAGGTTAACTTCAGTTAACTCATTGTTCCTTTAGTTCATCACCAGACCCCTGTTTTTAAATAAAGCAATTTGTTTTTCTTCTTCACTGGGCTGCAGAACCCAGTGTTTTATCCCTCTGGCTCACCTTGGCTGCAGAAACAAACCCATGTGCAAGGATCAAGAGCCCCAGAAGTTGTGTTGACCCTTGCATGCATGGATGAGCTTCCTTATCCCAGCGGGATGTGGAGAGCACCCATGGGACCGATCACCAGGTCTTACACTGCCCTTTCACACGTGTGGCAGGAGAACCAGGGCCAATGTTTGTGGCGTTGGCAGGGCATGGTTCACACTACCCCATGTCCCTCTGTGGTGATGCTCCTTTCAGAGGAGTCTCAGCAGCCTCAGCAGGATTGGCTCTGGGTACAACAGTGAGGAAGCTCCTGGTGCTCTGTGGTCCCTGCACTTGGCCCACGCAGAGCAGGGGGTGAGGACATCACCCGGAAAGAACAAGAGGAGTATTTGAAGAATGGCAGGATGGTGGGAGTCAGGTGATTAGAAGAAAATTAGGAGTCAATGGAGCAGGGATCTGAGACTGCCAGAGTGTCTAAGGCTCGGACTGTCCCTTGCATGCACCAGGACATCTGGGTCTCTTGTGTGGCCCACTGACCAGCTTTGGGCAAGAGATGCAGGAGGAGGGCATAGCTGGAGGGAGACACTTCAAACACACCCAGCCCTGAACTGCCCTGCCCAATGGTGAGGGGTGGTGTGAAAGCACCCTGTGCATCTGTGTGAGCACCCTGAGCATCTGTGTGAGCACCCTGTGCATCTGTGTAAGCACCCTGAGCATCTGTGTGAGCACCCTGAGCATCTGTGTGAGCACCGTGCACATCTCTGTGCCTGACATTCCCACACTGCCTCCTGAGCCTTTTCTCATCTAGACTGAATTATCCCAATTACTTTCTTCCACCACCTCTGTAATTTCTATTCTGGTCTTCCGCAGGTGAGGATCTGGCGGTTCCTCATCCTCCTGCCCATTGTCCTGTTTCTGCTCTCCCACTGCCCCATGTCCTGCTGCAGGACAGTGTGGCCAGGCCAAACTCTGCCCGGTATCAAGGGGAGCAGCAGGACCACTGCTGGTGTCTGGTGCAGGTCCGTATCCAGCCCAGTGGCTGTCTCTGAGCCTTTGCTGCCTGCCAGAGCCCCGCACCCCCAGGGGAGCTCAGTGTGCAGCCTGAAGGGTGAGCTGCCCTCCCCAAGTCCTCTTCTCTCTTGATTTTCAACAGAGCCAGAATGGTTAAATGTAAGTTGATGCTTTGCCTCTATCTAAAGCCAGGAGACAGGACTTTTCTCTGTTCCTGTCTTTTGATACCTGACATCCCAGTATTTCTCTGATCTTTCCTGCCTCTTGGGCTCTTCAGATTCTTTCTCCACGTACCTCCTTCAAAATCTGTCTTTTTTGGTGTAAATTAAAGTGCAGAAAAAAGCACATGACTGGGGGAGTGGTTGTACTGGTCCTAGGGGAGCAAGGATCTGCTCTGAACAAGGAGCAGTGCGAGGAGCAGCTTGTGTCACCATGAATCACTGCAGTTTTGTTATCCATCCATAGGTGACTGCAGCTCCCCATTAGCCTGAGATGTCTCCTACAGTCTTCTGGGCTGGACCTGCTCTTCTCAGCTTCAGAGTGTGAGGTCGCATGGAGACCTTGGAGCCACCAGCTTGCTAGGGAAGTCCTGCCCTCAGCAGGCTTGGATTGGAGTGGAGATGGGAAGAGGAAACTGAGGCACAGCTTAGGAAGAGGGTGAGGGGTTTTGGTCACTGCCGGGGCACACAGAGCAGGGTGAGAGAGCCCCAGGGTCTCTCTGCAGGCTCTGCTCTCCACTCTTGACCACCACCACCAGATCAGAAGCAAAGTGGAAGGTGCTCAGCCATGGGCTGGGAAGGGACTCCTCCTTCCAAGCGCAGTTCCTGCCTTGTTTTCATCCAGCCAGTAAAATGGCAATAATATCACCTCTCCCTGTAGGTGGTTTTGGTGATTTTATTGTGCTGCCAATACGGTTGAGGAGCTGCTGGGGAAGGCACTCTGTTTTTCCTCAGTCTTTTCCCAGTAGAGGACATCAGTGAGAATCCTCATTCTTGCCAATGTGATTAAGCCTGATGCTCCTAAGGTCTGACCTGGAAAAAATTCTGGTCCTGTTCCAGCAAATTCCCAGGGAATTCCTATCTTTTCCATGTCCCTCACTGTTGACCTCACACTTGTGGTGACAGAGAAATAGGGGGGTGAATGATTGCTGTTCTTGAAGTGTGGAGAGACCCACAACTGCTCCCACCTGTGAGCTCACTCCCAAGGAGCCCACGGTGCCATTACAGAAAGTAATCAGCGTATGTCCTATAGCCAGAGCACAACAGCCCAGAATGCCCCAGCAAACCTGGCCAGGAACTCATTGGAGGCTTTGGAAAGTGAAATGAGGTGAAACAAGGGCTGGCAGTGCCCCTGCTTTTAGAAGTGGGAACTACTTTAAATGAGGCCCATGGCAGGGTTGGGTTGGACAGGTCACTGTGTGCATTGACCCTTCCTTCCCTGGCCATGGAGCTGGGATAGTCCTCTGTGTACCTCCATGGGAAAGGCTGGGGATTAAATATAAAGCAGCCCTGCAGCCAGAAGCTGTAGAAGGCTTGCTATGACAGCCCAGGTGCCACCCTCCCTGGTCACAGCCTGGCTGAGAGCAAGGCAGGTTGTCCTGCATGAGGACACCAGCTTCAGCTTTCACCAGACAGCCTGGAGCAAACTTCTCCGTGCAACTGTTTCACACCTGGAAATGCTCTGACCCTTCCTCTCCTCACAACAGGGTCACTCGTGAGCATGTCCCACCTGGTGCTGTGTTGGAGGGGCACATGGGGTGTCTGTGAGCTCACCAGGTACGGCAAGAGCGTGCTCCTTTCCTCCTGCTACCCGCAGGGAGCCGTGCTGGCTCCGGCAGTGAGGCATCATCACCCTTATACTCTGCATCAGTAGTTACCTGAGCCTGACACAAATAGGAATTGATCAAAAGCGTCTTTAGAAGCTCCCGTGTTCCCTGAGTAGAAAGTTCCTCTTGTTGAAATTGGGTGGGAGAGCTGCGGTTTTTCCTCAGTTCCTTTGATTTGTTGCCTAATGCAGAGGATGGATAAATCTCTAAGCCCTGAGATTTAGGGCAGGATTCATACTTTACATCTTTAGAAGATGTAGTAAACAGCCCTATACTCTCTAATCCTGGGAGCAGGTTTGTACCTGCTCGCTCTGTATAAACTGGACCGGCTACAACAATTTCACATTGCGGCTGAGTTAAAAACATCCCCTTGGGGATGAAATGTTTATTGCAGGAGATTTTTAAGATGGTTCCTGAAAGGGAGAAAGAGGGACTCCCACCTCAATACCCTGCAGAGACCCTGCTGGACTGTCACGGGTGCAAAAATTAATGTGACTCCACGAGCGGTGAGACACCCTGGCCTGCAGGAAGATACCCCAAGGAGGAATTTGGTGGTGGCCTTTGTCACCTGGGTCTTCCTGGAGGGGTGGGCAGTCCCAGTCCTTCTCCATTGGGCAGCCAGATGTGGGTGGCCACATCACAATGATGACGAGGCCTTCGCTTACCAAGGCTGGCAGCTCCTAGGCATGGCCTGAGGCCTACAGTGCTCCTGGACCCAGCTGTAACCCCCATGGCCTCCATGAGGCTGAAATGAGACTGCCAAAGGACCCTCCCCTTCCCAAGGACAGAGTCCAGAGCCCTGTGGGAGCCTCCTGGGCCTCACTGGTTTGCAGCCTTTTTTGCGAAGGGATGGCTGAGTGGGGCAGAGCACAGGAGCTTTCCACGGTGCCTGGGATCTGGACCTTCGCATTGCTCCAGCCCCAAGTCTGCAGCAGAGCAGATCGGGGCCAGTCTGGGGTCTGGACACCACATCTGGGGGACACCACATTAGGGTATTTGGTGAGTTTTGTGCAAAATGTGAACCTCTGCAGATTCTCCTTTTCGCACTGCATGGAGGGCTGTGCTCTGCTTGTGGTTTGCTGTAGCTGAAGTGAGGAAGCAGTGCAGGGGGGTGGGTGGTCCTTGCGGTGGGATACAGCTCCCCACTCAAGAAGGGACAGGTTAGCCAGCGTGGGGTTATCGACTGACACCACACCACCTTGTGACTTGGCATCCCACTCTGGATGGCTTCAATACCTGAAAGGTGCCTGTAAGAAATCTGGGGAAGAGCTGTTCACTGGGGCATGGAGCAATAGGATGAGGGGGAATGGTTTTAAACTGGAAAAGGGCAGATTTAGGTTGGATATGAGGAAAAAGCTCTTCACCATGAGGGTGGTAGATCACTGGCTTGCCCAGAGAGGTGGTGCAGGCCCCATCCCTGGAGATGTTCAAGGCCAGGCTTGCTGGGGCTGTGAGCAACCTGATGTGGTTCAAGATGTCCCTGCTGACTGCAGGAATTGGACTAGAGGAGCTTTGAAGGTCCCTTCCAACTCAATACATTCTGTGATCCTATGATAAGTCCCCATGTATGACCCATGCCTGGTGTGAGGGGCAGGGGGAGGCTCTGCAGAGTGGAGCAAGTTACTTACAGGATCTTCAGGCTGTAGAGGCCAGAGAAAGCTTCCCCTGGGATCCTGGAGATCTGGTTTCCAGAGAGGCGTCTGCAGTGAAAAGAAGAGCCAGTAAGGTGTCAGCAGCCTTGTGATGACAGTCCCTTGTCTGCAGAGGCTGAGCAATTTGTGCATCGAGTCGCAGTCCCCTTGGGGAGGAGGCGGCATCACCTGCAAGCTGAGCTGTGGTCGTGCACTTGGGCAACCTTTGCACATACATCCCCTCTTACAGCTTGGGGAACAGGCAAAGAAAATATCAGCTTATTCCTTCTGTCAGATCTGAATACAGTGTTCTCAGCATCCAGTGACAGCTCATGGCTCAAGTGATTCCCTGGATACCCACAGAGGACCCCGCTCCACAGAGATTACAGCCCAGGCTGCCTGTGAGAGGGACCTCTCCTTGAGGGCACTGACCAACCTACAGACCCTGCTCTGTGCCAGACACCTGGCAGTGAGGCTGGAGCAGGGGGAGAGCCACGTTCTGCTGGTTCTGTGGTCCTGGGAGCAGTATTCCTAAGTCATGAACCTCTATCTGTCCCTTTGTGTGGCCAGTTTCTGCATCCTGCAGGTTCTCCTTTGTCCTGTCCATCAAAGCTCAATGCCACCTGATTTGCTTCCACTCTCTCATTCCCAGCCCTCCTTTGACGTGGGTGACCACAGCTAAGGCCCAGCTCCTTCAACACAGGTGAGTTTGGTGTCACTGCTGGGAGGGGAGACCAGGGAAGGGACAGGAGATGGGGCATACCACATCAGTACCACAGCAGAGCCAGCTCATCTGAGTATGACCTCCAAAACCAGGACAGAAAGGTCAATAGTGGCTCTTGGATGAGTTATGGCTGGAGAAAACCATAAGCAGTAAGACAAA